TAACTTAGAATTATAGGAACTAAGCAAAAGAAGTAAGTAAATTGGGCATGTATATGTATGAAATTATGAGCTTAACACTCCCTTAGGAAATTCCTAGCTCACCCTGCGTCTCCCTTAGGACGCTTCTTATGGGCTGCGTCTCCCGAAGGACGCTTTGGTCGTTGCCCTGCGTCTCCCGAAGGACGCTGCTTATGGGCAACTGTGTGACTATCCTGCCTCCCTTAGGAAACGGATAAGAACCTGGATACCTCCCTTAGGAAATTCCTAGCGCACCCTGCGTCTCCCTTAGGACGCTTCTTATAGGCTGCGTCTCTCGAAGGACGCTTTGGTCGTCGCCCTGCGTCTCCCGAAGGACGCTCCTTATGGGCAACTGTGTGACTATCCTGCCTCCCTTAGGAAACGGATAGGAACCTGGATACTTCCCTTAGGAAATTCCTGGCGCACCCTGCATCTCCCTTAGGAAGCTTCTTATGGGCTGCGTCTCCCGAAGGACGCTTTGGTCGTCACCCTGCGTCTCCCTTAGGACGCTGCTTATGGGCAACTGTCTTTTGTTGTGGCACATTCTGGAATTTGCAGTAGATGGTTCTCTTCTTCAAAAATGTGCAGGGCTCAGTCATCTGCTTGTCGATGAATTGTGAGCCATTGTCAGTAACTGGTGGTTATGGGCAGCCAAATCGGCAGATGATGTTTCTCCAGATGAATCGTTCCGCATCGGCTTATTTAGTAGAGGATAGAGCTTCGACCTCAATCCATTTAGTAAAGTAGTCGGTGGCAACGATCATCATGTCCTTCTTGGCGGGCGCCGGTGACAAGAAACCCACTAGGTCAATGGCCCATTGCATGAATGGCCATGGATTGTTTTGCGAATGGTAGACTTCGGCAGGCAGGTTAGGAATTGGCTTGTATCACTGGCAGCGATCACATTTTTTGACATATTCGATGGAGTCGTGGCGCATGGTAGGCCAGAAGTAGCCTATGTTTAGAGCCTTCTAGGTGAGTGATATGCCCCCAGAGAAGTTGTCACACTCGTCGTTGTGAATTTTCCAGAGAACCTCAAGTGTTTGAGAGTATTTTATGCAGGTGAGATGAGGGCCGAAGTATGATCTACGGATGAGCTTGTTGCCGTGCATGTAGTATCTCGCGGCTTTCTGCTGGACTTTTCTAGCTTCGGACTTTTCTGTTGGTAGATTTCTATTCATCAGGTAGTCGATGATGGGGCCTTGCCAGCTGGGGTCCTCGTCAATCTGCATTGCGTCGATTGGCTCTATTTCTTCAATGCTTGGTCGGTCTAGGTGTTCAACCGGGATGGAGCGTCTGAATTGGGTATCTAGCGCGGACCCTAGGCTTGCCAGGGCATCTGCATGGGCGTTCTCTGCTCGAGGCACCTGTTGGATGGTGAAGGTAGGAAACGCCTTCAATAGCTCTTGGACTTTGTCAAGATACAAGATCATCCTTGGGTGCTTTGCCATGTATTCACCTGAGGCTTGATTCGTGATCAACTGGGAATCTGAGTAGATGGCTAGCTTCTTGATCGCTAGCTCCTTTGCCAAGCGCAGGCCAGCGAGCAATGCCTCATATTCTGCCTCGTTGTTTGAGGTTGGGAAACCAAGCCTGATGGCCTGCTCCAATAGGGTCCCATCTGGGGTGATGATGACGACGTCTGCTCCCGCTCCTTTTTGGTTCGACGCTCCGTCTACGCGCAATTGCCACATGTCTGTGGGTTGGCCAGGTTCGGCGGATGTGCTATCTGTTTTTGAACTTTCCTTCTTATGGTTGACCAGCTTCTCTTCTTCGGCTGATGAGGTGAATTCTGCCACAAAGTCT